TGGAGAAAAATATACTATGCTAGTATTAATCAAAATAGAGTGGGAATAAGCTACATTAATTTCAGACAGAGCCGACTTCAAAGTAAGTGAAGTTACCAGTGACAAAAAGGGGCATACCATAATGATAAAGGGGTCAGTTCTCCAAGAAGACATAACAATCCTTAATATATATGTGCCTAACAACAGAGTGTCAAAATATGTATGGTAAAAACTGATACACAACTTGTAAGGAGAAGAAATGATCCACAATTACAGCTGGAAATTTTAACACCCCTCTGTCAAAAATGGATACATCCAGCAGGCAGAAAAACAGTAAGAACATAGTTGAACTCAAAAGCACCATCTGGGACGCCTGGGTGCCTCAGTCGGTTATATGTCTACCTTCGGCTCAGGTCATGATCCCAGGGTCCTGGGGTCGAGCCCTGAGCCCTGCATCGAGCTCCTTGCTCAGCGGGGAGCCTGCTTCTCCTCCCTCTGCCTGCCGCTCGCTCCCCTTGCTTGTGCGCTCAATCTCTCTCTCTCTCTGACAAATAAATAAATAAAATCTTTAAATAAAAAAAAAAGCACCATCCATCTACTGGAAACAACTGACATCTGTAGACTACTTCATCCAACAACAGCAGAATACACACTTTTCTCAAGCTCACATGGGACATTCACCAAACCAGACCATATTCTCAACCATAAAACACACTTTTAAAAGAACAGAAATCATACAATGTCTGCTTTCAGACTACAATGTAATTAAACTAGAAATCAGTAACAAAAAGCTGAAAAATCCCTAAATATGTGGAGATCAAACAACACACTTCTAATTAATACACGGGTCAAAGAAGAAGTCTTTTCCTTTATTCAGTAAGTGAACTTACTAATGCCAGGGAGGTGAATCTGTGAATAAAAATAGATTCCTGGCATACAAATCTCTTTTCTCTTGCCAAACCCTGACTGATACATTAAGACTATTCACAATGTGATTTACCTAATCTACCTCTTCAGCCCTCACCTCAAATTCACATGCTATAATTTCTATACGTTAGGCACAGAGAGTCAGTTTCTCAAACACACTAGTCCTTTAAACCTCCTTACTGTTGCTGTGTTGGTTTTTTCCTAAACTTTCACCACCCCGTCTTTCATCCCACCTACCCTTCCAACACTCAGTGCAAATGTCATTTCCCTCTGTAAAATGTTCTCTGGTTCCCCAGGCAGTTATTCATTCCTTTCACTGTGTGTTTTGCTCATCTCTCTCTGTCATGCTATCATACTCTACAGAATTACAATTTATCTGTTTATGAATTTGTCTCCCCACAAGATCACGGGTTATCAACCTCAAAACTGAAACACACTGGAGCTGAATTCAGCCGCAGAGAAGGGGTAGAATTACAGTTAGTTTGTATCCTAACTTAGCTACGCTATGTCATCTAACCTGTAGCTGCCCCTACCTAAACTAAATCTGACTTTTCCATAGAAATTCATTACACAAAGATCAACAGATGTCTGTGTTGCAGTAGGAATGTATCACAGAAATGATCAGCATTTGTTATCCTAGACCAGATAGATCACTCAAAATAATTAATACTCTGGTATCCTAGCTTATTAACAGTTTTCTCTAAGTTTGGATAGGGAATTTCCTAAAACCTGATCACTCTTCTCACTATTACCCTTAGGTATGCATGGCACTCAGCACCTTTGAGGGCTTTCTCATCTAGGGAAAGTGAGAAACAGGCTTCAAATTTCTTGATGAAATGCCAACTTTGCTGTCTACTAAATTCATATGCTGAACATATAAACCTTTATGATCAGCAACACACTTAGATTTAGATATCTGTTAACAACCTAAATCTCTAATGCTGATATTCATCTCCTACTAAGAGCCTAACACCAGTTTATATTGAGAGGAAAGGCCAAGAGCTATTCTAATACTGTACATACCATTTATTAAACAGTCATCATGGATTAGCCACTCATGTTACTTGTTTTACATATATTTTCTTCACAGCAACACACTGATAGAGCTATGGCCTCCATTTAGATAAGGAAACTGACTGCAGAGTTAAAAAACGATTCCTAAAATAATGTCTTCAGAATATGAATTCTAGATGTTTGCCTTTTAAACTACAGTCCATTTAGTGGTATGCTAGATAGAGCCAGTTCACACTGACTCACAAGAGCCGACTTAAATTTTTAGGAACTGTGTATGCCATTGTTAAACACAGCTATGGTTAAAAATTAAATGCTATAAGCTAACAATTACACAAATAATAAAAACAAAGGTAACTGTTATTCAAAACTCACTTCCTAAATATTTCAGTACATTTTACTCTTGAGGTTAATTACATTTATTTTACGTGAGTGTGTATACATATATGTGTGTATGTGTGAAAAATACTATATAATGGTGTGAAAATGAGTATCTCTTCCAACTCTGTATTCAGTAATACCACTTTGCTAGCTTGAAACTGACTAGGATGGGAGCATTTATGCCAAAGAAATTGGCAAATCCTACAAAGCATGGCTTTTTTTCCCTGAGTGGTTGTTAAACATTACCAGCAAATCATGGAGTTCATTCCTTATTCTGAGTAATCGGTTATTTCAAAATACAATACACATGCTCAGCCCCTACCCAGAAATTCTAATTCAGTAGATCAGGGGTAGAGTATCAGCATGTTATTTCGCAAAAGACTATTTCTCTTCCAAAAGAATTCTGATATGTACATACCTCTAGCTGAGAATTACTATCTGAGACTTCTAAAGCAGTATTATATATCATCAGACATTAGAAAAATACATACTTAAAGTGTATTACTTTAGGTTCCTGAATTTAAGTCTCTACAAACTATAATGTAAAACTGTAATGCAGCTTTTTTATCAAGGATCAAAAACAGTCATAAACAAGCTTCTATGTAGCTTAAATTATCAGAAAGGTTTCTCTTTAAACAATTTGGTAATTTCAATAAAAAGATTATAATATGAGACAACTAAGATATCCACATGAAATGAAAAAGAATAAGGCTGGACCATAAATAAAAATTAACTCAAAATGGATCAAAGCTAGTCTGCCTTCGGCTCAGGTCATGATCCCAGGGTCCTGGGATTGAGCCCCGCATCGGGCTCCCTGCTCGGCGGGAAGCCTGCTTCTCCCTCTCCTACTCCCCCTGCTCGTGTTCCCTCTCTCGCTATGTCTCTCTCTGTCAAATAAATAAATAAAATCTTTAAAAAAAAAAAAAATTTAAAAAATGGATCAAAGCTAAAGCTAAAGCTCAAAGATTCTTTGAAGAAAACAAGGCATGTATCTTTGTGACCCTGAATTAGGCAATGGTTTCCTAGATAAGACACCTAAAACACAAACAACAACAAAAACAGATAAATCGGATTTCATCAAAATAAAAACATTTGTGCTTTAAAGGACATCATCAAGAACATAAAATGATAACCCACAGAATGGAAGAAAATTTTTACAAATCATAAGGAATTTGTATCTAAAATATATAGAGAGTTGTTACAGATCAACAATAAAAAGACAACCCAAATTAAAAATTAGGAAAGATCTGAAAAGACATGTCTCTAGAGAAGATAAGCAAATGGCCAATAAGCACATCTTATTGTTCAATATCACTGATGTTCAATATCATTAGCCATCAGGGAAATGCAAAAACTATGAGATTACCACTTCACACCCATTAAGATGGCTCTAATCAAAGAGTTCAATAATAGCAAATGCTGACAAAGATGTAGAGAACTGAAACTTCACACACTGCTGGCCAGAATGTAAAATGGTATAGCTGCTTTGGAAAACAACAGAGCAGTTTCTCAAAAAATAAACTTGAGTTAGTATATGACTCAGCAATTCTACTTTTAGATATAAACCCAAGAGAAATGAAAATATATGTCACTCCAAAAACTGTTTATGGATGTTTATACATAAAAGCCAAAGGGTGGAAACAACCCAGATGTTCATCAATTAATGAATGGATAAACAAAACGTGATATATTAATACAATGGAATATTATTTGGCAAAAACAAGGAATAAAATATCGATACATCCTATAATCTTTCATGAACCTTGAAAACACTATAGTAGGCAAAAGACACAAGTCAAAATCAAAGCCACATATTACATGACTCCACTTAAATGAAACATCCAGAACAGTCAAATCTATAGTTACAGTAAGTGGCACAGTCGTTGCCTAGGGCTGTTGGTCAGTTGGATGACACAGGTATTACCATTAAAAGGTATGCGGGGTTTTTTTTTTTTTTATGATAATGAGAATGCTCTAAAATTGATTGTGGTGATGGTAGCATGACTCTGGGAATACACAAAAAAACCACCAAAGTGTACGCTTTAAATGGACGAATTGTATGGTGTGTGATTATATACCAATAAATCTGTTAAAAACACATATACATTAAGTTTTTTTAAAAAAATTAGCTCAGGACAAGATTTCCATATCTCAAACACTGATGTTTTCTTTTATTCAATAAGCTACATCATAAAACATATTTCTCTTTTGGCTTCATTGCCAGGAAATTCACCATTAAATTTTGTAGTCACATGAGCTTTCCCCTCACCTAAGTTCTCTAGTTCAGTTTCTGTCACCACATGCCTTGCTTTCATTGTTTTAACTTCTAAGTGTTCTACTGTAACCCACTTCAATCTTTCTTGGAAACAAGCAGGATATGATGGCTGGCTGAATTCTGAAAATTTAAGAATACTTTTAGAAAAAAAAAAAAAAAGGAATACTCTTAGATACTAATGATGCCCACCAAGATACAGAAATCCTATGAAGTTCAGCTTGAGCTCTGCTAACCAATTCCCTTCATCTTAACTACCATCAAGAACTGATTCAGAGAATTAATGAGTTTTCCCAAGGACTTTTTACTCTAAATTACATTATCCATATAAAACATTATAATGTGGTATTACACATCTACCATAGATTTAGCACATAAGATAATAAAGCACTACTGAAATTTAACTTTGTTTTGGGAAATTCATTCCTACCCTAACAGGTGAGGAAGACTCCTCTGTATTTCGTTTCTGGGACTCAGTGTCCACATCTTGGCGCTTGTTCTTCATTCTTTCTCTAAGATCCCCTGTAGGTCTTTCTGGTGACCTTTGAACCAAAAAACAAAAACAAAACAAAAAACAAAACAACAAAAATCTATATTTATATAACATTTATAAGAATATATTTACAGAAATACCTCACGAATCTCAATAAAATTTTTCTGTCCGTGGTTCCTAATGTTCAGAAAAACAATTTGCTTCAGCTTAAATATTAATATATAAAAAATATGAGCATCACTTACAAGTTTTCTCCCCATAACAATCAGAAATGTATACAATAAAATTCCATGGGGTGGCAGGTACTGGTGACATGAATAAGAAACTGTATGTGAGCCAAGAAAAAGGAATTTATAATTAACAGCTTAATTTGTTTTTCTAAAAATCACATAAAGGTATTAGTTATATTTGAAGGTAAAAAGCAGGAAGATAAAGTTTTAAACCACAATGTTGTAAAATTAATCAAGAGGCAACAGTATTATCATGCATACATGTATGTGGCTGGATGCAACATCAACAAGAGAATTACCCATCTTAAGAATCATGGGACACAGAGGAGCTTTGTGTTATTCTTATAACTTTTCTTAAAATTTGGAATGATTTCAGAATAGAAAATAGTTAAAGGATTCAAAGCAAGATTTAGGCAGTGGATTTCTTTTTAATTAAGGAAAATCATACATATTTATATTCAACACTCATAAGCATTCATAATTCATACTGAAAATGTGACAGGTGGCTATCCAATTATTTTTACACCATATTAAGTGAGAAAATAAAGCAAGACATGGAAAACACACTGCCTTTAAAGAATATTCCTAGAGGACCTTTTAAAGAGGGCAAAGAAGTTAAGGAGTGGTAATTCCTCATTGGCCACCAAAAATAATGTACACAATATTTTTTTTAAGGATATAAACAAATCACATGAATATTTACATCTATTTCAAGTAATAGTTACCAATCAAATCAATTCTTTTATCAATCATACAAGTCACATGATTAATGAAGAAATAATTTCAGTTAATTCTAAGTAGCGCCTAACAGAGTGCTCTACATACAATGAATGCTCAATAAATGACTTAAATATTTTGTGACTAAGCATTTCTGAAATACACTGCTTTTCTTTCCATCTTTGAATCACATTATGAACTGTATTTTCTTCCCTATCAAAAAGGAAAAAAAGACACAACTAAAGGGGGTTATCAAATGGAAAAACATGCACAAAATAACAACAACAAAAAGCCTTTACTCTAAGTCTAGTAATGACACTATTTCTTCCCATTTTAGACAAATTTCTCTGCTCACTTTCCTCAAAATTACCTCTTATATAAAAATTTTGTGTCAGTTAACAATAAATTTCACAGATGAATTAAAATGTATTAAAAGTGTGGTAATAATATGAACAAAACATTAAAATTATTGAACCAACTTTACCTAGGTATAAATTTATACAGATAATTAAACATATGTTTAAGAACTGGTTTTCCTACATTAACAGAAGGCACAGGTGACAATCTAAATACAAATAAAACAGAGTACTCAGCATCACAAGTAAATTAAAATGTACATCTAAGTGAACAGGAACTCAGTTAAGGGTCTGAATTTTAAATTCTATTAAGCTTCAAAATCTATACACACACACACACACACACACAAATTCACCCATTTAAAAATGTGCAAATGCTAATGTTCAGTTTCTATACTATTGCTGTAACCAAAGCAATGAGCACACCCAATTTTAGGACTTGGTTAACTATTTGTTTACCAATCAAGTTTAAACTGTTTTTGTGACAACCTTTACATGTTACATATTTAAACATCGTAACATAATCATCATGAACTGAACTGAAAAAAAAATTAAAGGTCTTTATTAGGAAAGTTTCATTTGCCTTTATTAAAGGCAAAAAGATGTCCTAAATAGGTACTAGTACCTTTATCTACGTATAAGTACATGCTTTCATTTACATTAATACATTGTGATAAGGGATTTGGCAAATGCATTTAATGTACAGAGCTTGCAGTAGACTGTCTTATGTCATTAATATTTGAATTTAGAACATCTTAAAAAGCTAAAATTATATCTTTGTTAAATTTTAATTTTTTAAGAGTTAAAAAGTCTTTCCTAAGTAAAAGTAAATCCATGAAATTCTGCTATCATAAACCATTTTAGTACATAACTGGGGTTGGGGGAAGTAAGTCATACATATATTATTAAAAAAATTTACTGGCAAAAACAGTAAATACTGAGCAAATAATTTTAAAGCGTACATTTTATTAATCTTGAAATTAACAACTGAAAAGATCTTGTTCATCTTTGACTATTGATAAGACCGCCACCAAAAGAGAAAAATCTAATCAAATATATGCTTGTATTTCAGATTTTTATACTAGATAAATTACAAAAGCCATCTCCTAATAGTATATGAACAATTCAAAGTTCTTAATTTACCTTCTATAATTGCTGCTATAACCTTTACCACGGGGTGAAGGGCCATGTACGAATCTACATGTGTTTCCATAGAGGCAGTTGCCAGTCTTCAGCCAGTTACGGCACTGTGTCTAAGAGACAGATATTACTATGTAAATTTCATATTTATTTCTGGAAAAAAGATGCTAGTGGGACAAAATTAAAATAAATGCTACCAAAATTCCAGCTACCCTGAGATACATTATTCATTCCCCAAACAATAAAAACATCAGGAAAAAAACCCATAAAAATTATTACTCTTTTCACTCTTTTATGAAACTCAGTTTTAAAATTTTACTGAACATTCCTATAATACAACAACCTGTTCACCTTTATGATACAAGTCAGTATTCAAGAACAGGATTATACGATAACCCCTGTGACTGAGCTAGTGACAACTCACCTCTGCTGTACTGCCAGTGCTGGGTCCAAGCCTCTCAAATACACTGGGTCTTCGGGATGTGCTATCAGATATGGTCTTGGTATTTTCCACTGTGACCTTCCTTCTAATTTTTGACATTTTGTACTACTTTAACCAAAAAAGAGAGAGGCAAAACTGTAAAATTCTTCACTTGTAAATTAACTGAGCCCATAACTTACACGTAGATAAAGCTGTAGATAACACTGTAAAATTATGGGGAATTTTTCTCAGAAGAAAAAAGGCATAGGAGAGGTCACAGGTAAATAGAAGGTATCTTCTAAGGCATGGCACATTAATGAACTTACAACAATGATGAAATCTGTTGGCCAGAATTTTTACTCTTCTGCAGAGTGAAGGAGTAAGATTCTACTCGCACAATTTTCATAGTACGCCCAACCTCAGAAAACAACTATGAAATGTTTAGTTTCTCAGTTCCTTATAAAAGTTTCAAAATTTAGTCACCTATCTTTTAAGGAAAAGCTGTGCTATCATTCTCCATAAGGTAGTTAACTGGAAAAGAAAGCCATGTCAAAGAGAATGGGAAAATAAAATCAGGTGACAATTTTATTGATAGTGGAAATTATGCTTTATACAGTTTGTGACATTAGGTATGTTCTAAAAAACAGCTTGGGAGAAAAATGCAAACTATTTAAATATTTTCTCCAATTTAGCAGAGCTTGAAAAAGAACAGTCTAATCAAGGACATTTATTTTCAATAATATAAAGAAAATTCAATGTTGATAAAATGACTTTCTTTCAAAATAGGACAAGCAACAGAACTAGAAGTCAAGATGTTTCTATAATTTATACTACATTGACATAAAAGTCAAAGATGCTAAAAGTGATGAACAGGCTACCTTACCATTATTAGAAACAAGAAAGACAAATTGTAAAAATATTTTACAAAAGTAAATAAAACATTTAAAACTAAAACCATAACAAAACAAATCTAAGTATATAATCAGGTGATTCAATTGGAAATGAAAACATCAGATAACAGTATTATGATACATGTTAGAAAAAAACATTAAATTCTAGATGTAGAAAAAATTAGCACATCACTGTGGGAACTGGGTAGGAAATGCCTAAGGGGGGGACTAAACCATATCACATTTCATATAATCCAATTAGTTGAAATCTTATCAATAGTCAAAAGTTACTAGAATGAATGATAGCTAAAGAAGTGAAAGTCCCATTTGGTATGGAACTGGTCTCCATAAAATTCACAAATTCAAGAAGCTCTTTAATGTGGTTTCAAAGTAAAGACATATCACTTGAAAGGAAATTAAGTCTTGATAGTACCAAATCAAAAGCTTAAAAATATTATAAACAATATTTGATTTAGTTAGATACTTCTATTCAGGTCATATTTTTAAAAGAATCCTAAGAGTAAGGACAACATTTGACAAATGAACAAAGATAATGAACCAAGAGGAAAATAGGAAATACCATATGGTAGTTTTAAATTGGAAAAAAAAATGTGTTCTTATTCTTTAATATAAAATACAACCATTTTAGTAATCAATTTTTAGTGATTCAAAGAAGTTGGAAAGTAACTTTACAAATTTTTAAAAATTAGTGTAGAGCGGCACATTAATAAGAGTTTGTTGCAACATAAAACCACATATGTATCAACTGTTCTCCAAATAAGGAACTATACAGCCAACCCCACATACAACAGTTAGTATTATAAGATAATTTTTTATTTCATTCTCAGCCCAAATGTGAATTTACAAAGTAAAATTTGGTAAAATTTCGTATGTCCATTTGATTTACTGAAAAGTTCTTTATAGAATGGAAGGCCAAGATAAATGGAACTGAGAAAAGATCTAGAAAATGTAGAGCTTTGATTAACTGAGAAAACCACTTTACAATTTATATCTGAGTAGGAGTCAATAAAAAGTGAATATGTCACAAAAAATAGGGAAAGTTTAGAACAAAAACAAATGTTCAAAGTCTCATTATGTTACTATATTAATATAGAGATGTACATTGTAATCTTCATTCACTAATAAACTTACAAGTGAATGAGTTCTAAAAGTTCCTTATTAGCTCCTATTAGTTATTTAGAACTTGGAAAACAGGTACACCATCCCCCCATGCTGCCTCAAGAAGACCAACCCTAACCTTACAGATTTCCCTCCGCTATCAATGGAAATAGTTCTGCTCCCCAAACTCCTATAGAGCTGTAGCATGCTGCCACTCCTAACACACCCTCCTCCAAAAAAATTAATGGTGGTGCTTTCTATACTTAGGGGAACAGCTATTTATTATTATACCTGAAACACTGGTCATAGCATCTCCTTTCTTGTTTTTCTGAGGGCTCCAGGTATTAACTGTTTCTCTTCCTGCTCTATAATCCCTTGCTTGGATCAGAACTCCACTGCTCCCCTGACCTACCACTGAAAACCATGGCTTCTCTCCAATCCTAGATCAATAACATAAATTTTGAAGATTTCAAAAGGTTTGGACTACTATGTCGAAGACAAACTAGTGAGGACTTATGATGGAATCTTATACCCCTCCTTGTATGTATCCCTGCCACTAAAAAAGTACCTTCCCACAGAGACAAAGTTGCTTGTACATGGGACATGAAGAACCACTCAAGATTCACCTACACAGTTATTATCACTGGAACTTTACTTTTAGCTACTGTCGAGTCTTCCAACTTAGGGGAAAAACAGCAAAGTAAAAGTCATATTCTCAGCATCCAACAGTGTCAGGCTTCCTTCTAAAATTGCACTGACTTTGAGTACCAGGTCTATGTTATAGGGAGGTCATAGACAGAAAAAAAAATCTGAGGCAAAAGGGAAAAAGTAGTATTTGAAGTTTTCTAACTGAAAGAGGAATTCTTCTGATCATCTCTCTTGGAACTTCTATCAGTAGTTAGCAATAAGTTTTTGAAATATTACTGAAATATTCATGATTGACATAGATAAAATACTTTATGCTTATAAAGAACACAAAATATAATATTTTAAATCCTATTTGCCTAAATATATACACATAATCTACAATACACCAGAAAAGCATTTACTCATATACATTAATATATTAATTTAAAAGTATGTTACCAATTAAAATGACTTAATTAGAATTTTCTATCTAAAAATTTGGGTCCTCAAAGGCAAATAAATACTACAATCTAATAAAATATAGATTTGACTGAGAGGGGATAAAAACCTTTTTCAATTAATACCTGAACAGGCTTCAATAAGCAACGCTTCAAAGTATGTGAGAAGAGTTACAAACAATAAAATAAAAATGTAAATATTAGAGTCTTCCCTATTTCAGAGACTTTAAATCTTTTCCCTCCAGTTTTGTTTTCAAATTAATCTTTGATTTCAAGTTGTCATTACACTTTTACCCACATCATCATGTCTTTCCCAAACACCAACATTATCAAAGCCCAAGTGACACCGGTGAAAGTCTTTGCAGTTATTCTATTTCTCGCCTCCATTTGCAGAGTAAATAAATATCAAGGTTTTTATGATATATTTTCAATTGAAAAACAGGGGATACAGAGTTTGGATCTATTAAAGTACAACAAAAGAGGGTCTTAATAAATGGGAACAGTCCCCTTTCTCCCAAAACTCACAAATATCATAATGTACTCAAAGCTCCACCCTATACATATGGCTAAGACTGGGGAAACATACAAATGATCAATGACTCCTGAAGCCTAATTATTAAAATCTTGTCAATAAAACATATATCAATTCTAGTATCCTCATTTAAATCCATAATTACATCTTCTTGAGTCCTCATCTTCCCCTAGGACAAATGAAAGCATTTATCATTTTAACCTGGATAAGCTGCAGCATAACATTCGGAAACTGTCAAGTAAACAATTAAATAAAAATACATAAATGTACTAACTGGTAGAATAAATTCTTATCCACTGAAGTTCTAAAATTAAAAGGTTTATATTAAAAATAAGGTCTCTTCCCATTTATATTTCATATATTTGAAAGAAAAAAGTTTATTTGATGCATAGTCTGGGAGAATTCTTTAAAAAATAACTTTCTAAAACAATTTTGCAGGTTGCTTACAGATAGACTAAAACAATTCCAAACTTAATTCCAAACAATTAACAGAACTAAATTGACTATACCACTATGAGCAAGGCAATACTGTAGCACTGTGTAGAAAAAATAATTTGTTAAAAAGACTATGCACAGAAAATAGCCGAAGCTAGCAACTACTCTAAAGTGAAATAAACAGAACTGCAACATGCACACTACCAAAAAAGAACAAAGACACTTTAAATAGCAACACCAGTTAACTTTCAACTGTTACTAAGTATCTACTAAAATAGCTCCAACTCTACATGAAATGGAGAATGGGGTTGGGGGAGATGGGGAAGACTAACATCCACTGAAAACCAATTCCTCAAATAAATGTCAATTAAACAATTTTGTTTTCTATATTTAACTGCCAATGCATACTGTAATACCAATTAACACTGACAACTTATTAAAATTCTAATAACTTGTACAGAAGTGAAAACAGCATCCACTTGATGAATTTTAGTATTTACCGATATGAAAACTGGATTGATTTGCATATCTTAAATATGCAATCAATATTCATTTTGAATCAGCAAGAATTAGGAAGCCAGTAAGAGGCATGCATTTGATAAAACTGGATCCTACCAGATCCACACAGTAAAGTCTAAGTTTCATGGTGCAACTGTTTTTACAGACACAAATTGCTACATACCTGCATCAACATTCTGAGTAGTCTCTTGTTTAAATTGTCATTTTATAATCTATTTCATTAAGAAATTGTAAAGTATTTGAAAATCTACAGATTATATCCACAAAACTCTTAAAAATATTGTCACTTAGGTACCAAAGCCAGTAATTTCCAATATTACAAAACTAGACTCCGCTAACTGGCACCATATACACATGCATGGATTGTACTGCATAAACATTTAGATTAACTGCAACAGTATCATGGACTTTGAAAAGTTGAGCTGTGAAGATATTTTCCAAACTTTTAAAATTATTTCTCCAAAAAACCCCAAAAATCTGAAGGGCTGGTATACGCCTATAATTTTCAGAGTAGTTCAAATTATCTGAAAACTTCACAATATAACCGAATAGCTTAAGACACTACGCTCCACAGACTACATCCTACCAATATCGTTCAAGTAATATCAACTCTGAATAATTTGCAGCCACATAAATTATTTTAACCTGTTCAGAAAGAGATAATGCCAAACAGCAGACCCTCTCCTTTCACTCCACCTTCCCCAGTTTCTGACAGATAGTTGCCAAAATTAACTTCCAGGACCCAAGTGGTTAAATTATCACTGCCAGGAAATAAGCAAAACCAAATACAACCAACAGCAAGATAATTTTTCCTACAGGTCTGGAATGCGTAGAGGGAGCCTCTAAATCTAAGACCATATTCCTGCCCCCGTCCAGCGCATACAAATGCGAATACTGCGCGAGGGTTCCCAAGCCTTTTTGGTAGGGACCCAGCAGAGTTTTTTGTCTGAATCCACCCGTCCTTTTAAACAAACTCGCCGGAATCAGAACAAGAGCGAGAAACGAAGCCCGAGCCCAGGGAGCTATTGCAGAGTTAAGGGTGGGATGCTCAAGGAGAGCTCAAAATCCTGGCGTGACCCAAGAAGGGATGGAGGACAACCCGGGGCCTTCCCATCCCGGGTCCGTCCAACGCCTTTCCCCCGATACCCACACCAATTCACAGAATTCAAGCTTACCTCCTCCCCGAGCTCCTGTCGCAAGCTCAGTCAGGAGGCGCTACCGCCGCCACCGCTCCGAGGAGCGGGGGAGGCGACTCTCTGTCCCCGCGCCTGGCCCCGGGAAGACGACGACGAGGAGAAGGAGGTGCGCGCGCGGCTCCCGGGAACCGGCCCTTCGCTAGCGAGAGGACCCCGGGGCAGCTGAGAAGCAGAACGCGCCCGCCGCTTCGCCAGGGTCAAGTGAGACTGAGATGTAGGACGAAAATGAAGGAAGAGAGACTGGAGAGCAAGAAAAAGCAACGAAAACACTAACAGGCCGATAGGAAGATCGACTCAAAATGCCGCCGGAAGTCAAGTGTTTTCCCTGATCCCCAGTAGACCGGAAGCAGCTTCCGGCCGCCAGATTAGTCGTCAGCGCGCAGGCACCGCCCCTCCGGAGACACGCCCCTGGGCGTAACGTCGGCTCGTAGGAGTGCAGTGGAAATCGTCAAATTGGTGCTTTGTGAAGGGACCTTTGGAGTGGAATCTCTGAGCCAGGGAGAGCCAAAATTTCCGATAAAAAGTGAATTTAAGAGGAAGAGTTTACTTCTTTTATTACATAATTTCTTACAATAAACAGCTGTTGTAAATGCCACATCTGTTGTTGAAAATAACTACAGCCGTTCGTTCATTTGCTCAACAATGTTTACTGAGCAGTGACAGGGGTATTTGTCCTGTTTTTTACACTCCTCCGCTTTCTGGGCCATCGCTTATTACTGTGGAGCAAAGCGTACACGGCTGTGTTTTTAAAGGCGCAAGCAGTTCACTGAAAATTTGGAGCAGAAATCTTTAACGTACTTCTAACCACCTTTCCTTTTGTGGTCCAATGATCGGCAAGAAACTAGTTATTAAAATTGCTTGAGGTGGGTAGTCAAACATCCTGAATCAAAATCTCTATCTAGCCTCTTACAAATTTTTTAAAAAGGAAAAAGAAATGTGAGCCTTTTTCTGCCTTAATTTTAAGGTAACATTTATTTTGTTCTGTGACAAAAGCAAGGAATAGGAAAACCTTTTCTCAAAACTACTGATAAAATTTCAGAAGAACAGGTACAATGATTTGGTCCTGTTGGAACCAGTAAACTAAAATATGGGAGAAGAGTGAAAAAATTAATGACATTAAACATTCTTGATGACATGCCCAACTATTTTAGAGATAGCGGCGAAAGCTTCTCTACAAGTGGGCTTGATGTAACGCTCTGGCAACAAGAATCCGTATCTGCCTTTATCTCGAAGTTCAATTGTAAACGAATATTTTATGCCCAAGTCATAGATCCAGTCATCTGAACCTCCAGGAGCTAGGTCTACAAGAAGAAAAAAGAAATTACTTTTTGAAATACAGATGTTTCAAGTTAACTAACAAAATGGATTTTTTTCCCTAAAAATAGCTCTGCTTTTTTCTGATTATTAAGTAATCTAAGTTGCTGGTAGAAAATGGAGATTGAAGAAAAACAGGTTAAGGAAGAAAATAAAAATTACCCATATCTATGCCAAGGAGTAATAATCACCAGTAACATTTTAGTGTTATTTTTTTCCTCAGTGCATGCTTTAACATCCTTAAATTTTTCCTACGGAAATAAGATCATCCTATACACGCAGTTTTGTAGTATTTCTAAACATAATCTATCTTGACCAGCTTTATGTATCAATAACTTCAAATCTACATTATCATTTTTCATGATCTCATAGCACTACATTGTAAAGCTGGATATAATTAAGTTCAATATTTACTTGGAGACATTTAGAATTGTTTTTCTAATTTCTAATTAATATAAACAACTTGACAATGTCCTTTCTTGTTTTTACTAATTGCTTGTTTCTCTACAATATTCTTCCCTAGAAGTAGGTTCACCAGCCTAAGAGTATGTACTTTTTACAATTATGCTACATGTTCCCAAATAACCTTCAAAATAATTGAACCAATTTACATCTCCATACTAGCAGGGTATGAATTTGCCCACTTCCCCCTCCCATACCATGCACAGGAATTATGCATTTCTGGCAGTGTTATGGGTGAAAAATAATATTGAACCATCTTATTTTGTTTATTTGATTACCACTGAGCCGAACATATTATTTGGTATATTTATTGTCCATCTTTATATTTTTTATCAGTTGTCTTTGCTCATTTTTCTGCTCAATTGATTTTATAGATTGTTTATAACAGCAACATTTGTGTAAATTTGAATTTGCTTTGTGTAATATTTGAATTTTTTTCTTATTTGGTTATTTAGCTTTCAACTTGGTTTATGGCAGAGTGTTTATATTAAAATATTTTATCTATCTAGGATTTATTTTAGAGAAATATGTTAGTAAATCAATTAATTTCTTTTTCTGAGTAAGTTGTCAGGTTTTCCAATCATATTAATTGAATAACTAACATTCTTAGAAATGCCTCCTTTATGAGAAATAAGATGCCCTTATATATTTAAGTGTCTTTCTGTTCTCACTATTCCCTCCTGTTGATCTGTCTTTTCCCGGCTCAGCTCCACAATCTTAATTACTCTAAGTTTATAATGTACCTTAATACCTTGTTGGAGCAAATTCTCTCTAATTAGTCTCACTTTTCAGAATTTTACAAGCTCTTCTACCAAATCCATTCTTTCAAAAGAAATTCAAAGTCATTTAACTGTTCATTGGGATTGCATTAAATATACAGATTAATTTAGCATGACTGACACATTTTTATTTTGCTTTCCTACTCAAAAACATGGTAGGTTTCTCCTTTTATTTATCTTCTTTTATGTATACCAGTAAAACTTTCTAGGTTTTTCATATAAATATATTGATTTGTTTGTGTACCCACACACATACATTTAACAATGAATCCACATATATTTATCTGTATGTATATATGTGTGCAATGTGTATACATGTACATAAAGAGGGGCAGTAGGATCTTTTTTTCATTTTATTTTCTACCTGATTATTTTTGGTATATAAGAGAGCTTTCGATTTCTGTATATTTAGTTCATATTCAGCCACCTTCAACTTTTGATTGTTACTAATATTTCTGGTTGATTTCTATTGTTTTCCAGGTAGACAATCATATAATATGTGAAGTGATCATTTTTGCCTCTTCTAATGCCTATACTTAAATGAACTACAAAGGTGTTTACCAAAGCATTGTTTATAATACTAAAAATATCCATCAGCAGTGGATTAATGAGTTATTCAGCAAATATTTCTGACAACCACTATCAATATTTGGCATTTCTTCTTCCAGCCATTTTCTCATGCTTATGAACACATTCTCATAGATGTATACTGACTGAATGAATGAATGTGTAGAGATGGACTGATTTCATCACACCAGAAAGTTGCTTTGTAAGCTCTCTAGCCCTGAGACACCTGTGGTTATGCTTTGGGGAGCAATGGTAGAGAAGAGGATGAAAATCCAGAAAGCTCTGAATTGTGAAAGGAAGTTGTGGGGTCCCTCTCTGACAGAGCAAGGACCTGGGTCAGCAAAGGCAGCAGTGGGCCAGTGATACCAAGAGACAGAGATACCATGTGGACCAATCTGGCCCCACTTTGTTCTGAGATATTTTGGGGTTGTTGAGGTGGAAGAGGAAGATTCTGGACTTTCTACTAATAGGGCATCTGGTGCTCAAGCAATTTATTGAAAATAATATGAATGTGATTATTAAGATGAGTGTGTTTTTATATTCCTGTAGATCATACCTGTTAAAGAAAATTTTGGGGCTTTGAATATTGTCTCAGGGCCTTCTCACAACCCATTTTCTCTCCCTGGTTTTCCCCATATATCACTGTTTGTCAGACACTTATCAGGTAGGTCTTCCAGAAGTGTCACCTACAGAGAGAGACCCTCCTAGGCCACTTTAGCTAAGTAGCCTCTCTCCTGCAGTCATTCTCAAACCCTTAAGCCTATTTTATTTTCTTCACTTCTCAATGGGATTATACTATATTTGACTATTTCATTGTCTACATCAGAGATTTGCAAACTTTTTCTCCAAAGGACTAGATAGTAAGTATTTTAGGCTTTGTGGCCCACAAAGTATGTCACAACTACTCGACTCTACTATTGTGAAAGCTATCATAAACAATACATAAATAAATGGGTGTGGCTGTGTTCAAATAAAACTTTATTTTCAAATACTGAAATTTGAATTTCATATAATTTTAACATTCACAAAATCTTTTTTTAAACCTTTTAAAAAATGGAAAAACTAGGGTGTCTGGGTGCCTCAGTCAGTCAAGTGTCAGACTTTTGATTTCTGCTTAGGTCATGATCTAAAGGTTGTGAGATCCAACCCCTCATCGGGCTCCATGCTAGGCATGGAGTCTACTTGGGATTCTCTCTCTCCCTCTGCCCCTCCCCCCACTTGCTCTCTCTCTCTCTCTCTCTCTCTCTGTTTGTCTCTCTCTCTCTTTAAAATAAATAAATAAATCTTTTAAAAATGGAAAAACTATTCTTATCTCACAGGCTATACAAAACAAGCGGTGGGCTGAATTTGGCCTATGGGTCATAGTTTGCTGACACCTGGTTACATGTTTATTTTCTATTCCTCTTTTTCCATTTCCTCCTCTGGCTTCAAAAGAAAAAAATCATTGTCTGTCATCCTAAAAAGAGTCCCTCGATAAATATCTGCCAGCAGAAATTAAATTTGAAAATATTCTTAAGAGTTCGCCACATACAAGCTGTTATCAGTGTTATACAAACAAAAGACACTTAACTATATAGTGTGCTTTAGTGGGCACAGCCTGTTATTATAAAGCATTTAATGTAAAAATGTTCCCTAGATTTGTATAGTGTTCAACCTGCACGACTTTTCTTGGGAACCCTGGACATCTTATACATTCTTTTGGCCCTTTATGACCTTTCCTGCTTCACTCAACCAGTGTGATGCCAATTCTATAATCTCTGCTCTATAGCAATGAACATGATTTCTTGAAAATCATTTTGGCTTCTTTTGAGGGTATTCATTTATTAATATAACCTTGTTCAGTGCTCTCATAGCTATTACGCTTCCATTTCTAATTGTTGTAATTCAACTATTTTACATGTGACCTTGTTTGAAGATTCCATTTAGAAAAATTAAACCCACAAAGAAAAACAAAACACACAGATTTCTTTAGTACCTCACAATTCTCCAGATCTTAAGAAGAAATACTTACATAAACTTTCTGAACCACTGCCATGAGTATATCTGATATTTTTATTAGTAGTCTCAATAGCACGGGCTGCTTCACTGGCCACTAGGGACTGAAATCAATAGAATATGGAATTTCAGTTAATGTGCAGCTTTGAAGCGGGACAGGTAGAAGTTTCTTAATAAAACAATCATATGTTAATTGA